TTAAGGGAGTACAAGGTTTCAGCAAGCATTGCCTGTTTGCCAATTGGACATGGAGTACGGACGTTGAAAGCTCCTATGTGGAAAGGATCTCGTGGATTTAGAAAGGTGTTATTTTGTTTAATGTTTGTGGGCAGCGAGGAGCCTAAGGCCCTTCGGTCAGATGGCTGACAGTCAAATGGCCCAGCGATGTTTGCTTGTGCGGTGGGAAGGGGTTAGGGAGGGACATCGGTGGATATGAAATGCGCCGGCAAATGATACTTCCCGGTTGCCCAGGCCGAGGAAGGGGGTTTGGTTGAGGTACCTCACGTTGAGCCTTTGACTCAAAAGTCTGACCCACAAGGCAGTGGGAGGACGTAGGGTTTTGTTCGGGGACCCTGACCCTAGCCTCTGACTGAAAAGCCTGACCCACGAGGCAGTGGGAGAGTGTGGGGTTGTGTTCGGGGACCCTGACCCTAGCCTCTGACTAAAAAGTCTGACCCACGAGGCAGTAGAAAAATGTAGGGTTTTCTTTGGGGACCCTACCCGGAGTCGACGACTCAACAGTCTGACCTGCTCGGCTGCAGGGAGTTGGCCTAACCCGAGGGCGCAGGGAATAAGGCATTACTGTCTCATTCCTGATGCGGCTGCGCACAACAGGTGCCTTTTGAGCAGCACCGGGCTCTTTGGTTTTAAAAGTATTTCGACCGTATTGGATAATGCGCCGGCGGTCACGGTCAACCGTTGGGCGATCGGAGTGTGCGGTTTTTGGGGCCGACCTATTCTAACCCGTCCTTCCTCGGAGGAAGGCAGCATCGCTGCTTCCATAAATATGGACATGCTAGTCGCCTGGGGGAAACACCTTACTGCCTTCACACTCCTGTCGCAGAGGACAGTACGACTTTACCCCCAGACCGCCTCGTAGCATGATTACTCGTAGTACGGGGTCTCGCTGCTCTTGGTCTGGCTGCTCCCCTTTGGCCCTCCTGGCATGGTTGCACCTTGTGGAACGAAGTTCCAGCCAGTGTAGCCCGCGGGATCATTGCAGCACTGAAGCCCGACGGCCACGTCAAGGTGGCAGCTTTAGGTCGGGAGTGGCAGCTTTAGGTCGGGTATCAAAGGGTATCCAATCAAGGAGAGACTCTTCCGCTTGTTCACTCAATACAATACCCACCCCACCATATCCACCTGCAGTGGCTTCTGCATCACCAGAGGTGCGCAGCCGGAACCTGGAGCAGAGCCAGGGGGCAATCAGTTCGATCACAGTATTTGCGTCCTGCGTCCTTGTTTCTGACAGACAACATACATCAATACCGAGGGAATCTAGCGTACGTGCAAAAGCCACCTGTTGACCTGCTTCCTTCAGTGTGCGAACAATGAATTTGGCCAAGTAGACAGGCTTTCGGGGTTTGAAAACAGACTTCGAAGTGTTTAGGGTTGTAACTGAACTCGGACTTGCAGAAGCTACAGCTGAGTGTGATGCGGGGCGAGTAACACGGTCAGTCCTAGAGCTGGGACCCGCGGAGAAAGTATTCGAATTTGGGTGGGGGAGGGTGAAAGAAGGAAAACGTGAGTGTTAGAAGGGAGGCATCAGCAGTAGCATGTTTTCGCCTGCCTGCTGTATGCAGCAAGTAAGGCGACCCGGCTGATGGCACCACGCGATGGCCGATATGGCATGAGAATATTGGTAGTTGTGTATGTCATGGTTGTACGAAGGCTGGAATACTGCCAGGGCGCCCACACCTAGACAGAAGGACGATTAGAGTCCTCAACCAAAGCCTTTGGCTCAAAAGCCTAACCGCAAGGCAGCGGTGTTCGGCTGGAAATGCAAGTACATAACCATTTTTACGGAACACGTCGCCATGCATGTTCCAACCCCCAACCTGGAGGGCCAGGAGACTGTGTTCGTCGGGCTTCTACCCATAGACCAACCTGGTATGAGAGACTGAGCATCGTGCGGACACTCCCCAGTATAGCTCAATGGGTCGCCGAGGTACACAAACCGCCACACCACGGTAAGGTCCTGTCTCTTCGTGACGGCGACGTTAGCTATAGGTATCTCGTTTTGAAACCTACGTGAATTCGAATCACACTGTTCGTTGCTGCTTTTGATTACGCTTTTCGGGGGCCCGCAAGACGCGTACACATCGCCTGGTCATTGAGAAGGTCTCGGCCTCTGATGTGAAACCAGAACCACCTACTGAAATCTCTGTCGGACAAGACTTTTGATGTTAGCTCTTACTGGGAAGGTGCTGTATGCAACCTTGCAAGCTACTGGACGCTCCGATTGTGGTTCAGCCAACTAGTCCGAAGTACTGTGTCTCAAGCAATACTAAAATTACTCGGTTGGACATGTTCCTTTTGATCCAAAGTATGATACCGCTCGACGAACTGTCAGGTTTGGTGAAAAAGGGCATTTGTATGGATCAGGAAGTTCGGCGAACCCCGAACGGCTAAGATATTGGAGGAGATAAAAAAAATCGGGACTATGCGCAAACTGCTCCATCTGATACGTGCAACAGGTCTAACGGAGACCCTGGTGAGCTAAACAGTCATAGGTATACTGGTTTAGCTGTAGCGCCCTTTCGGTACCCAGCTATCATGTCACCTGAGGGAAGCGCGAGGCTGAGATACTGCCAGGTCGGCCAAGCCTTGGCGGGAGCATCGAGATGCAGAGGTCGGGTTCGAACCACGTGCCTTCCGATCAACAAACTCCCCCCTTAATCAGTGAGCTCTCTCGAGCTCACAAGCCCAGATAACAACAGCTCGTTTATTTATAAAAATGGAGCGCTTGATTCAACAGCAATCCAACTAGCCCCCCTACAGTTGCTCGGCTTGATTCCCAACCTGTAATGCAGTCCTGTACGGTGAAATTGAAACCCCCGACGGCTTACGAAATAATTAAATGCTTTTTGCTGGTCAAGTGTCACCGAGCTGCTGGTCCTGATGAACTCCAACCTGCTCTGTTCAAAGATGGAGGTGAAACTCTTAGTCGGTTGTTATCTAATTCATGTCTATCTGAGCGAAAAAGACCGTCCGAACCAGTTGGAGTGAGTCCGTAGTGATGCCCATTTTCAAAAAGGGTGTTCGCAGTGAGCATAGCAATCACAGGAATCGCTTGACCCTCATTGTAACCGGACTTTCTACGTCGTTTTACGAAGACCACCCGGGAACAGCAAACAGCGTTCCCGTAGGGAAGGGGTTGTGTGGACCACACCACACTCTGTCAAGTGCCACAGCAAACTTATGCGTATGGGCACTGCAATCCTGGTGTTCCTTGGCTTTGAAAGTGTGTTTGAATCTGTCGACTGGTTGATTCTTTTTAACACGCTTGCACTCAAATATGCATTCACATGCTTGCGGGAGCGTGAGTGTACGGGATGCTCTCCAAGAGTTTTCCCACAAGCAGTGATATCGGACAAGGATATCTGCTCTCCCCGATTTCGTCTAACTTGGAAGGAAGCATGAGGGCTGAAGTATTATGAGGTCATCCAAACCTTGACAGAGCAAGTGAACTTAAATCTTGGAAGGAAACAGCGTCGCTGCTACCGTAGATATGGCCTTCGTGTTTCCCTGAAGGAAATACTTTACTGCTTTCGTACTCCCACCACAGGGGACATCACGATCCTACCTCTAGACCGCCACGTTATTTGTTGTACCAGGTGTCGCTTTCAGTCTTACTGTCCCTCTTTGACTTTCCCGTCATAGCGGCACCTTGTCGAATGGAGTTCCAGCCAGTTCCAGATCACAGCACCCAGGCCAAAGGAGGTCAAGGAATGACTCGGCAGCAAAGCACGAATGCCACTACTAGCAAACTGATTTCCGCTCGTCATTACCGTCTCCATGGGCCGGGGCCCCGAGATTAGAGACATTGTCAGACATGACCCAGTCGCGCGCTCAATGGAGTACATGAATCCAAGCTGTCGCATTCAATGCGTAGCTACCCTTTCAAACCCCTCAATCAAATATTCACAGACGACCTTGTCTCTTCACACCAATTACAGCTGCCGCCCTAATCCATCGCTACCAAACCCATCTACTCAGGTCGTCAAAACTGGGGTAGCTATAACCACTGCACGGCAAGTACGTGGTTCTTACACTGATAATGGTGGTGACCTCCTCCACACTTGTATGGCACCAATCTCCAGTGCCGGTGTATAGCCGTCCCCGATAGTGAATGCGAACAGATATCATTATTAGCTCTTAGTGACTTGTATAAATTTGTTTCGAACAATCTCGATCAGACACATTTTTGTTGCTATCCCTCGTCCTCTTGCATTTCAAGCACATTCAGTGTTGGAATGCTTTTCTTTACCCCTATTATGTCAAGCTTTTTTCCATGGTAGCAACTCTATTGACTATAAACTTGTTCATTAAACGCATGGTGTACGCTGGCACCTTCCACTTGTCAGCACATGTTTTAATCACGCTGCGCCATCAGGATTCAATGAAAACGGTGGTTCTATGCATAGATTTCAATAGTGCTATTGTCCTTTATGTCGGTTTACCTGCTTGTACAGATAGCTTGTCTTGAAACCTACGGGTGTAGGACCTGTATGGGGGACCTAGTGTACTTGCCTCTGATCGCATCATAAATTTACAAAGAAATTCCTTCAATGCGATTAGTGTATGTTAGGTAATGTGTCGAAGTGGTTAGAGCGCGAATTTACTGACCGGAAGGTTCGTGGTTCGAATCCGATCTCCGCCACTCGACTTCCCCTGTCTAGGCTTGGGCAACCTGGCAGTATCCTAGCCCTCGTGCTTCCTTCGGGTGGCATGGCAGCTAGGCACCGGAAGGGTGCTACAGCTGAACGCTTTCCCTTTTCTTCTTCTTGATGGCACGCGAAATGCGCACATTCCGACAGGCCGTTGAGAAGCTCTTGGGTGCTGATGTGAGGAAAAATGCAGCAAAACCATCCACTGCATTACAGTTCAAGCGACCCATCATCTAATACCGACTTTTGTTGGAATTCGTTCTCTGCAGCCCTAAAAGCTGTTGAGGGCCCCATCCTACCGCTAGGTACGTCGAAGCACATCGCCAGATAGTTCTGCCTTACTTGAGACACGAAAACGTTTCATCTGGTGCAAAACAAGTGTTCGCCCTGGGTGTGATTTTTTGATGATCCCAGATGTATGAAAAGACAAGAGGCGCGAAGCACTAGTAGTGGACGAGATCGGTCCATACTGGTATGTGGAACAGACCTCAATCGACAACAAAACGGCGTCTTCATATCCAGGAAATAAGAGTACCTCGATATTTTGGAAGAATACTTTGAATAGCAGCCTCGCTCAGTTGTTGGAACCCCTAATGGCTTCAGGAGCACGTGGACACACCTTCATCAGAGGCCACCAACTTACTGGTTTTGTAAAGCTCTTTCTTTAGAAGTAAAAATTAAGTCTTCATTCGGTGATTAACGAATTCAGTCGCTTTCGTTCGGTAAAACAGATCGTCCGGATTGACAGGTGTAACTCGATGAAGTCTTCTTCAGAAGCACGCTTGCATTTGACGTCATAATCACACGGGTATCAGGTTGATTCTCGTTTATTTTGCGTCGCCCGACAACAGCAAATGAATGGATAGCCTGATAGCCGTGAACAGGATTCCAGCAAGGAAGGAATTGTACAGGCACACTATCCTACGTCGAGTATCAGCAACGGCATGCATGTATGTTGGTTTCCCTTTGCTTCAAGTTCCACCCACCCACTTTTTCAAATACTCGTACACAGGTACATCCAACCACCCACGGTCGTACCGCAGTGTTAACACTGTTTTGTTGCTGTTTATGATGATGATGGTCCTGAGGGAAGAAATGCAGCTGGAATATGACAATGTTTCGGCATCAATCGAATAACCCGAACGAGGGTCAAAACAAGGCTTTCTTGTTCAATAGCTCAAACGATGACTGTGCAGGTCCATCGACTTCAATCTTATAGCAGCAGTTGATCTTTTTAATTGTTGAGATTTGCTATCACCATAAAACAGTTATCCTTGGGTTTGTTGAACTCGGGCGGCTTTGATATGAAGAAATTTCATGCGTAGATTGAGCAAGAATTACTTACAAGTTAGTGAATATTTCATAAGATTCCTATGGTTAATCATTCTCAATCTGACTAGCTGCTGTGCACAGTTGTTCGTTGTATATCTGACTACTTGAACGTCTGAGGTGTCTTCCTCGTTCCTTTTCACCATTTGACTGTTTGGACTAAACTCACCAGAACAAGATAATCAGACGGCAATGAACCACACTTTTGGAGGAACATGTAAGCTCACGGGATTGCGTCCTATGTAGTGTTTTTTTAAACCGATGAGAAGTCATTGCCGCTTTTCATCGTTACAGTTGACTGTGACATGCTGTTGCTACTGTCAGTTGTCGGGTCTGTCTTCATTGTTTCCTTCGTTTTTCCATTTGCATTTGTATTGTTTTGGATATTTTATCTACTTTGCGATAATGGACCGCGCTAATAATTTCGAATTTCCAGGGTATTGAGCATACGACGGTGCTAAAGGTGATATTCTGTGACCATCTTCGTACAGACCAAGCCGGATAGTGCTTGTCACTAGCCGGTTGTAGTGTCTTAGGGCGTTTCCAGCCACCAGGCGACCTTTCACATAGAATAGACCTTAAGTGTTTATCATCGCAAGAATTGACAGTCAACAGCCACCTGTTGGTAATGCTATCGGCTCTTCCTGTTCACCCTTCGGCTATCCCTCATATTTACATGCGATAAAGGGAGTTCGGTCGGTTGCACGTACAGCTCAGCACAATCCGTACTCAGCATTGCCTATTGTGTGTGTGTCCATCAGAAAAGTTCCATACAACAGGCAAGTCCGTAGACTGGTTTTAGCCCGTGTTTTCAGCGAAGCGAGACGGTCAGGCCTGCGGAGGTACTTCCACTAGTTAACAGAAACAGCTTACCATCGGACCGGTGTATGTGGTTGCCCAGTGCAGTTGTGCGAAAGTCATCATCATATGGTGGGCTTTCTTAACCGGAGTTCAGCTGAGCCAACCAGAGCCTGTAGCTCTGGTTTGAGCTCTCCGCGAACACTGCGTTTGCTTTCAGAGTGATACCAATGTGGGCGTCCTTGTTTTACTGCTGGATGTTTAGGAACCCTGACCAGTTGATATTGGACCCTTCTGTTAGGTAGTGTGAACTCTTGTGGGTTAAGTGATTTTTTCTAGGTATGACAGTTCTTGTAGTATGTTGAGATGAAGTTTCTTGAATTTCTCACCCTGGTGTTGTTTTTCTTCTGTTTGAGTAATAAGGTATCATCGAGAGGTTTATTAGATAACCATGACTGATCTCACTTATCCGCCTCCAGGTTGAAAATCAGGTGGACGCTGACACTGCGTCTGTATAATCTTCGCAATGTGCAACAGTTGGATAGCATTAGTAGCCGTCCGTTTCATACATTTCGTGTGTAGTCCTCAAGAGGGGAGAATTAATAACTGACGAGAATATGCATTATAGCTGTATCTACCGCATTTCACGGTGTCCAGCTGTTCACAATGCGTAACGATTGCACGCATGAAAGTAATTTCGTGCTTAGCCTTGTGTTTTACACCTCCAAAGTGTAAAGCTTCCAGACTTTTCAATCCTGCACTTTGAAACTTCAGAATAAGGATCTTGGCTTCGTCGAATTTTGCACATGAACCGTGGTTATATACATTGCCAAGACAGGGACAGCGTTCACTAACTTGCGTCATTTCAGTGCCAGAGACGAATTTTGCTGAAGCGACTTAGAAGTGCATACAAGGCAACTGTAGGAGCGACCTTACCTTGCTGTTGCGAAACTTGATCCCTCCAATAGGAGCAACTCAAACACCTTCAAACGTTCGGTATCCCGGTGGTGTTACAAGAACTAAGTGGCTGCTGCAAATACGTGGAGAAATGGTGCATAAGCGTAAAGAATCACAATCAGGTAATGGTCGTTGGGACATGTGGTACGGACGCTAAGCCATTCTGCGCTAAATTCGGCTTTGCTATCCGTTCCAAGCTGTTGTTAACTGATGGTTCACGGTGGACAGAGCGTGATATGTTACCGTGGCTACGGTCGAACTGATTGCTACTTGATCTTTACGCCCATGGTCAGTGCGATCCCCCTTGCAATTGTCACGTAATCTGTCCTGGTAGTTCTTTCTATCTAGACTGCTTAGCTCAAGTTCGCCACTTGTGCACTGGGGTTATGTCAAGTCAGCCTCGCAAAGCATACGGAACCGACTTCACTGATCTCACCCACTTGATGCTCAAATATATTTCGGTACCGTTTTTGATTATTTCCTTTCAGGACATGTAACTTTTACACGCAAAGTCCCTACTTCCCTTTCTATTTGCATTTAGTAGCGTATTCCTCATACCTAGATGGCAGTTGGGCATCATTTTAGATGACTGATTTGTTCGTATCCATTTTGATGGTGAGTGCATCTAGTGCCGTTTCGCGAAGCTTTTCTTGTTTAGTTTCGGTACGCTTTCGGAAAACATCGCTGTTCTTGGGTCATAACTGAGTACAACGTCATTGATAATCGTAATGAATTTTTCGCCCTTTTTTCGACAGTTTCCCCCTGGAATCAATGGTCAGGTGTTGGAACTACTGGTAGTTGGAACCCTACGAGCGGTCCCCCAGGACCACAACCTCCTTGGTCACAAACTGTTGGATGGAATGGTGGTGGTGGCTCGGCCGCCAGCAACCACCATGGCTCACAGTCAGTTGGTGGACCGGCCTCACACATGCCAAGCTTAGGTCCAAACCCTGGACTCGGTTGGACTGATCAGCAGGGCAACTCTACCAATGGTTGGGTGCCATCTGGATGGGGCCCCCACGTAACGGGCCCTGCGCTCAATAACCGGGGTAAGTACAACTTAGCTGACAGCAGTTGTGTTATTGCTGTGTTTATTGGTATTGTGTTGTCATATGTTCTTCGAACCTCAGAACAAAAACAGTTTTGGGGAAAACTATTTAACAATAGAATTTCAAAGCCGTGGCTTTCAACTGTTTTACTTCTTTTGGAAACAATCTCTTTCGCGTGACATTTTTGAATGGACTGAACTGATTCGAAGGTATGGGCTTGCTCACACGGGGCATTCTGCCCTCACTTGGGTTCTTCACATTGGGATCAGTCACGTCACCCATTGAAACGCAGTTACAACCTCTAGTCTTGGACGCGCACATAGTTGGCTATCATTCCCAACTTTAAGTCATTCCTTTTTGGGTGTACAATCTTACGTGGTTCTTTTTTTAGTGCGAAACACAGTTTGGTGGTCTCCTTTCGACCAGTCGTGAGTTTTTAAAGTTAAAATTAATCATCATCGAAATACACATTTGCATACCAGTTTGACCGGAGACTCGTCTGGAGTGTAGCTTGAACCTCCCTTACTCAATCACCCTGTGCTTCAAAGGTTCGGAGGAGGGACTCCCCACCGGAGAACCTGAGGAACTTGAAGTATATGAATACTTTTACTTCTGATGAGCTCGAGATAGCTCAGCTGGCGAACTTGCTGATCAGAAACTCCGTGGTTCGAACCTTATGTTAACTGCTTCCGTTTAGGCCTGCACAACCTGGCAGCATCTCAGCCGTCGGGCTTCCTTCAGGTGGCATGGAAGCTATGCACGGAAAGGATATTACAGCCGAACGACTTTTTATTATTCATTTATTTCCACTGACTTCTCTCTGTTTATTCACTCCAAAAACCTCGTGTTGCGAGCATTCCGTATGTATATCAAACGTCTTTATCGTTGACCCAAATGGGTTGCAAATATCCAGACGGGTATATTGGTCGGTTGTTCACATATTAGATTTTCAGACATTTACACCGATTCAGTGCCCTTCTCATGAATGTGTCTTCTTCGGTTTCTTCTGGTCCGTGTGTACCAACTTATTCGGATGTTCCTCTCTGTTCTCTGTGTGTACGTTTTAACATATAAAATGTATAGAGTTTATTCATTATCAATGGATTCGTCGTATCATATGCTAGCATGTCGTATTTCCAAGGTAGTATCACTGGTGCCTATTCTGGTCACACTTTATTTTCCTGCTGAGAGGTGCTGAAGTATTTAGCCTTGCAATCTGTCGAAGAATGACGTCAATTTCGCTTTTCCACCATTCCGTTCAAAGGTTTGGGAGATGAAGTTTCTTTGTACAGCTTACAGCAACAGCAGCGAAAAACACGTCCAACCTGGGATTCAATGTGTTTTGCCGCTTTGACTTCGGGTGTGAACTCTACTCCGAACCCGGGCGACCTCGTTAGTTCACTGGACAACTGGAACCATCCAGCAGCAGCAGCTAATGCCGCTCTTTGTCAACTGACTCAGCTCCCAATGGGATCCGGTCTTCCTCCTGCTCCGGCCGGGGCGACCGATTGGAATCAGGTCTCCGCTACTACTCCGGGGTCAGGTTCAGCAAACTGGAACGGATCCAACCCTGGTGCCATGTCGATTCAAGCTGCCAATTCCGTCCAACAAGGAGGGACTGGTTCAAACAACATGCAAAGTGGTTTCCTCAGTGATCACTCAGGGGCAGCACATCCTCATCAGAACGGTGCTACAATGGCAGCAATGGCCGCAGCATTTGGTATCGGTGGGTCTGGCTCAGTTCCACATTGGACTTCTGGTCCTGGTCCTGGCGATCCTGGTGAGTGTAAATTATGTTTCCGTTTTGCGTCCTTCTATTCTCGTTCGTGGATTGCATGATCATATCTTCACACTACATTGCGAGTACTACCATACGTACGGACGACATGTTGCTGGTGTCCTTTGATCTCAAAGGTGTATTTGATTTTGTTGATTGTTGTGATGATAAGACACTACGGAGCGGTATGAAAGCATCCACTTGTGTTTTGCATTACGGTTTTTGGTTAAATGGTTCAAAGTTATCAACAGATTTATCCAGCGAAACAGATTACGTCATCGTCATTTGTGAAGGTGAACTGATTGTTGATCGATCCAGTTTCATATTCGTGTAAGCTTTTCGGCACATATCTGGATTTTGAGGCCGGATTTTAATGACATCAAAAGCTAACAGCTCTCTGAATCCAACTTTTCTTGGTCGGGTTGTGGGCACTCTTCTAGGAGGTGATGGATCTCATTTGAGTCATGATCCTTGTTCCGCGTCTCAGGGACGCATTCCATAAACTCAACCGTGAACTCGACTCAGTATGGTGCAAGGTATGAAAGTAAACCGAATTCACTAGCGTCCACGTCAATTTATAGCCGGATTTCGCGCCTGAGTTCAGGCATCCTAAGTGTTTGTCGCTGGTTACCACCCCTCCAATTTCGCTTTATTACATACCTACAGAGGGCTTGATTGTATGACAGCGAAGCTTTACGCTTTCATTTAATGGTGGTTATTTGTGGTTGAAATCGCTTGTGAATTTCATTTGTGTTGTCCAGGTAATCTGAAACTCGACGACGCACTTTATCGATCTTCCGGAGGTTATGGTTTGTCTTCTACAGGGGTCCCAACCAACGGCAGTGCAAGTTTACATCAGCCAGCCAATGGTCTACTTCCCGGTGACTGGCGTGCTGTCACTGGGCCGACGGTTGGAAGCACTGCTTCAATCCCTGGATACCATCCTGGACCACAGCCACAATCGCAACAACAACAGCAGCACATGTACAAACGATAATCATTTCGGAGACCCGGACCCTTTCCAGTATCACTTATCATCGTGAGCACTACGGTTCCGGTTATCCGTCGGTTCTGGTTGTCTTTGTTCATATCGTGGAAGCTTGTGGTGAGAGCGCCTCATCCTTTTCCGGTGTGTATGTGATTGTATGCCCCGCGCTCGAACTTGGAGGATTCGGCGCGCAATTAACCCCCTTCCCTTTGCTCATTTGGTCTGAACCCATCTGTTGTTTCCGGCGTCTCAAGTCTCCGTCTTAGCCCCTTTACATCGAGGCACTGTGCATCTGTTTGCACCTAGTCGTCTTTCGGTACTAATTTTACTACTGATTACCAGCACCGCTATAATCCCACTCTTAATACAAGTACACACCAGAGATATGAACGATTCTTGTTTAGTGTATCTGTGAATGCGGTTGAGGCAATAACATGGTATTCACATACTATGGAGTCATTTCGATGATATGTACTTCTTTTACTTACGATATGCACGTCCTTCGGCATAGTTGCATACTGTTATTTATCTGAAACCGTTCCTTGGCCATTTGTTTCTACCGATCAGTTTATATGTACGCCTACGGACCTCTACCCATAATGTTCGTGTACTTCATACACCCCTGATCTGATTTGTATTTTCTTTTTCCCTCATTCACTTTTTCTATTCTTTCGGACGTATATTATCATTTTTGTTTATTACTATTATCAGTATGGGTACTATACTTATCATCAGTGTCACCGCAACCAGGTCCGCATTTTTAGCTAACCCGTGATTTTGACCAACAGGAGTCGCAATTCGAAAACATTTATCATTCGTATGTGTCGTTCTTTTCATTTGCTTTCTCTCAACTGGGCGATTTTTCCAGCCATGTTGATCGTCTTCAAGTTTGTTGCTTTGTAGCTAACCCGTAAGCGTTTTTTTACACGCTCTGGCCTGTTTTTTCATCCGACTGTACAGCCATGTTGGCCGCTAGTTCTCGAATGCAATCTCTAGTTGTGATCGATTTCCTGTCCACATTTTCTCTTGTCAGTAGCTTTTACTCTTCTGTGAACTCTCGGTTTTCGTGTGTTATTTATTCTGCCTCCGTCCTGTTCCCTCAATCTGTTTTTGTGGCTTTCCATTCACGTGTTTGCCTCCCTCCTTGTTTCATGTACTCTAATGTGCTTTCGTATCAACCAGTCTGGATCAGTAGTTTTATCGAATGCACAATTACATGCATCGTTTGGAAGTGATGACTAAGATTGCCCTGTCCTTCAGACTCCTTTAATAGTTGAACAACCAAGCTTCGTTTCGACTTCTGGATAAACTTTGGGTGTGACGTTCTCTCTTGGATTGTCACAATATGAGCCATGACAGTGATATTTCGAGCCGTATTCGCGTACGAGAATGGGTATATCATCTACCACTGTAATTTATATCTTGGCCAGGATTACCCCAAGTATACTCGAGCCTACCCGCTTCCGCATAAAGTCGCCGCTTACGGACATCCTTTGATCATGTACTATGGACTCCTGCAAGTTGTTTTACTTTTATTTGACGAAACAGCATCCGGCTCAATTTATGCATACTTACTTTGCCAAGTGCCCTGGAGTAATTTGTCTGTCGTGTGGTTAAGGTGGGAATTTTAATCCCATGAGTTTTAGGGTATGGTTATTCTTTTCACATTACCGAAAATGGCGTTTTTAAGCTTACGGTTGGTGATGCTGGTAGGACCTCACCCCATCCGATTGATGGATCTTCCACTTTATCGACCTTCCATCAAAAATCCTTGTTTCGACGTCCTGTTCTGAGATCCACGTGCTACGCTCATTGGATAAGTCAAGATCAGGGCGAAACCGCAGCTACGTTGTCGTCGAATGGCATTAGCCTAGGACCATTCTCTAGTGTGACTATGATGGTCCACATGCTCAGGGTGTTCTGTCCACAGTACGGCGAATTGGTATGATTTTTTCGAAGTTCTAATAGGGAATGTGTTACAAGGTGTTCCATCAAGGAAAAACGCCTCCGTATTTGGAATATCCGTCCTGTTGGGAATGTGCTGTATGCCCAATTGAAATATAGCCTTAATGATCCGCGGTGTCTCAGGTCAACAGCATTTCAGTTCGCCATTGAGTGTTAACTTTTCACATACGTCCTGGTCTGCACGACAATCGCGAAAAATTTCGTGTAATGATAGATTGTTTCATAACTCGTCTGACACGATACAAATTGACTTGCATAAGGAAGAACATCAGCTCAACTCATACGCGAAATATTAGGCACGTCAATTGTATGTCGACACTCTGGATACATTATGTGTAAGGCATTCCAGAAACCTAGAACGGTGAACGCACCTTGCTAGCACAATGAACGATAGCTTAACTCACATGTGGTTGGACGTCCGAGGGTAGATGTATGCGGCTCCGAGGGAAACTTGGACTGTTGGTCTGTGTTGTAACTGATTCTAAAGTAAATAGCGGCGGAACGTGACAAAATTGATCAATCCGGGTTCATGCCACTTAAATTGGCACACCTCTTACGGTATGCAGTCTTCAGATTGTTTTGAGTAGGCAATGAGTGCGACATTTCTTCGGTTTGCTCAATGGTGACAGATGTCGTTATACACGACTTGATGTACACATACCACATCTAATCATCAATGTCATTGTAGGCCTAGTCGTCAAAATTACCAAACTTAAATTATGGATATTCACATTCACATCAGATGTCAGCACCCGGATAGCTGATGAGCTGTATCTTTCAATCCTAGAGAACAGATCGCATGGTCGCACGTTGACTGGCTCTCCGGTGACGACGTCTGAAATGGAAGCTTCACTGGTTTCCTGGAATTACTCTTTCTCTGTGCTACTTATAGATTGTTGGTAGTGTGAGGAAATCCGGGTTTTCAGTATCGTGTTGTAGGTGAAGCCAGTCTGCGCCGAACGACCAAGCGTTTGAGCTACTAGCTGGGGGTCAACGGTCCGAGATTTTGTGGAGCTTCGTGAGGTGCGCACTACTGAAGACTTCCTATTAGAATGAAACAGCTGCACAGTATTCCTTCGTTTTTCAGCATAAATGGGTTTCACTTGCCGGATAAAACCTCAACTGAATAGTCCAAATCTCCTCACGACACCAAGAATAAATTGTGTAATACATTTCGATAAAATCCTTAGAATGTAGTGTCAAGTGGAATAGAGCACAGGCTGGTAAAGACCCACTGCATAAGCATAAAGACCACCATGGGTCTGATAGGATAGTTGGATACCTATCTAGGTTTCTTCGTTTCTCTCTCTCTATTCCGAACACTCGCACCAATCATCTGTAGATTAATGAAACATGTTAGAAGATAACATCCAAACGTTCTGATTTTTAAGTCTTATCGATAATCGGTGAATATACGCTCATTTGCAAACTAATTTGGTTTTTCGACTCACCTGTAACGCAGCGCCTACCTGGTGAGTCCTAAAAAAGGCGAAACCGGTCGTGGGCTGTCGACGGATTTTCAGCAACCTTATGAGTAGTACATTACAAAGTTTATGGATAGTGTAGGAATTTCAGGCGGTGGGGAAAACAGCAAAAGGAGGCCTCACGCCTGACCGTGTCCTCTGTCTGGTCGATAAAGATCGAGCGACCTTCAACAATGCCCAATTTATGATGCCGCCCATAGAAACAATAGTAATAATGAGAGGAAGGAGGCCTTCGCCGCGGAGTTATTTATTCGGAAATGCCAACTGACCGGTTACAGACCATTGAACAGGGAAGCAAGACTCTAATCTGCATCTTAGTTAAGAAAACTAGACACCGATCTTCTCCCGAACGAGTCTTCTTGAACTTTCCTGGAGATTCACTGACTCCACTCATTCGTCGGTCAAATCCAAGCAAACGTTACAAAGTGGCTCCACGAATTCCGCAACAGATCTCCCTTTTTCAATTGACGCAAAGCGAAATTCTACGAACAACATATACTACTCGCGTGCCCCCATCAGTAGTATCACCGTTACAATAGTAGTAGCTCAGCTGTATTTAACCTTTGCGTAGCTGCCGTACCACCCGAAGCAAGCACGAGAGCTAAAACACCGTCAGGTTGCCCCAGTCTCGACAGGAGCAGTCGAGATGCTGTGGTTGAGCCCAGACAAAAGACTTTCCGGCCAGTAGGATCGCGTCTTAACCGCTGAACGGAATTGTGAGGTCTGTAGCTGCGGAACGTGAGACAAAGTGGAAGCGTAAATGAGGCTACGACAGCACACTCTAAAGCGTCCGGACCAGGTAACCTACAGCGTGACCAGATCATGAAAATTACAAGCCTAGTTTCTATATTTCGTTTCTCAATGTTTTGCGATTAAGCAAATACAGAAAGACAGTGTAAATCATCAGCATCTTCGTTCGGTTGAATCTGGTAATGTCCAGGAAACCTGGCCAAAAACAACTCGGTGATTCATGAATTTGCTTTTACCGGTCGTGTATTGGCTTTAGTTGCGAGTCTCCCGTTAGCGCCAGTAATGAGTTCCATTGCGTTTTAAAGTGTACTGGCCAGCGGGGAGAAGTGCTCTGTCGTCTAGACAGGCGTAAGTGAATCTTCTCGCATCTGAAGCCCAGTTAGCGCTCGAGCGGTGGATAAATTCTGAGCTAGCTTCCAGGGCCTGTCTAATCCATGATAGGTATGACCAACTTAAGGCTCTGGGCCTTGATGCAGCATGATGTGGTGGATACCAACCAGACAATGGATGGCAATCATATCGCTCAAGAGTGATATTCGCCTAAAACATGGTAATTTACGTACGTCCGGTGCTCGTTGGTGCGACAGTTGCACGCTTGCCTCAGATGTTTGGTATAGGAAACCAATAACGGCGAACAATGTACACTAGTTACAGCGAAACTCTGAGACTGCTACATCTCGTCTTTGGAGAGAGCTCGCCCTACAGTCGCGCAAGGACTGTAGGAAAACCGCTCAAGCCACATTGTTGTGAACACAAATGCCCACAACTACCCGTAGATTATTCGGGTTCTTGCACCCACCCATTTCGTTATTCCAACTTGGGTACGACTCTTGACTGACCCATCTGCCGACAGCTCATATAGGACTGCTACTATTTTAGCATGATCGCTCGACATCGAAGTAATGATTATAAACTGTAGTTGCTGTCATATCAGTATTACCATGAAAATGATCAATATTACACGATACAGGTGCGTCGATATTCTCGTGACATGTTAGAGCTGCTGACTGTAAATCTGACCTTTGGAACTTCAACTAATCTGGAATCAGAATCAACAACCTATGTAAGCTCTTCCTCAGTGGGGAGCTTTTCAGCAGAAATCGATTGACGCTATAAACTCCAGCCGATCTGCCGGTGCCTTGCGAATATGCAAGGTTTCGTGGACTAATTAGACTCCAGTTGATACTATCAAATTTTTCCCGTCCCTGCTGACCTCGGTTTACGCTAGACAATCACGGTTAAACGGAGGTAAATGGCTTCACAGAATTTGCTACCACCTTTGGCACCAAGAATATTCAACTTATTAGTAGTTCTGGAATTTGCTGGAAAGCGGACACACCAGATGAGGAATTGCGTCCGACAGAGTGTTGCACGAGGTCGCTGTCGGTGAGGTAGTGTCCTAGAGGTGGCCCCATTTATTGACTACTGTTATGGAGCCCTTATTGTTTCTGGTAATGTAGAATTTGCTAATATGTTGGCCGTAGGGCCTCGTCCCTGTTTGCCCCCTTGATCGTGTCGCTGTCGCTTACTGTCACTTGTTTCACAAAACGGATGATTGTGTTTAACTCTGCTTGTCATGGAAGCCAAGGGACGGCGCTGTAAACCCTATAGGATAAATATGCTTATTTAGTGTAGGAGTGTAGTTGTTCTTAGCAGGCAAAAAGTGGCGTGTTGTATATACTCTAACACGGCTGGTACGCCTATGCAATTTTATTGCGACAAGTGTTCCGCATATGGCCGCTCAATATCTGTAAGGACAATTCTTGTAAATCCTGGCGCACAATGGGCGTATTTCATGTTGTATTAGCATATTGTCGTCCGGTTTATGAAACTTAATCTTTCATGCTTCATAAGACATCTCTATTAAACAGAACATATAGCACATACCAGTACATAGGCGACCTCGTTGGGTCGTATAACATCTTTTGTAGGGTTTTCCTCGAATTATCACTTGATAATGATCTACAAAGTAGCCTCGATGATATATCGTTGACACAAAGAGTCAGTGAAATCAAAGACAAAACAGGAAGTTCAGAACGTGAGGAAGTGAGCTGGTCGGAGTCCAGAAGACCTGAATACCGTTGTCTTGAATGTACACATATGTGAGCCAAAGGACAAGCACGGTATTGGAACTGGATAACTCCACAGGAAGCGCGCCTTCTAA